ACCATATCGACGCAGCTTGAATCGTTATGCTTATAGCTGAAGCTCATGACGACTGTTTTCGGGCATATTTTTATATTTATTATTGGTAATCTCGAAAAACCTTCTTCTCTCTTTCTCTCTCTCGCATCTTCTTTCTTCATGCACATGCTCACTATGGGCATCTATTTCTCTTACTATGTTGGTGGTGTCGTTGACGTGCCAGCTTCAATAAGAATCGTTAAGACACGGCAAAAACTGATGCTCCCGTCTGGCTGGCAAGAGGACACGTCGTTTTCAGCCTCACACAAGAAGACTATAAGTGTATCCATCTCTCTCTCTTCCTCTCATTCATTCATTCATCTTCTTCATTCTCAGTTCTTTTTCTCATCATTCTCTTTGACTTCTGATTTTCTGAAGTCAACGTCAACCAAAATACGCTTTTCATTATTTTTACGCACAACTCTTCCGTATCCCCTAACTTCGATCTTGTCTTTCTCAGCTTTAAATAGCAAGGGAGTATATTAGCATTTCGTGCACTTACACGCTACTTGCACTTTCACGTGACTACTCACCTGCTGTACTTCCCAAGTTGATTTTTCGGCTTCAGGCACAAGGTGAGCAATGGCAATTGAGTTCCGAGAAAAACTGAAAACACATCAAAAACATGACAAAAAAAGAAATTAGAACGAAAAAAAACATTTCAAAGCGTTCTCTACGTGTTTTCACGTTAAGCACAACTTTGAACTTTTTGCTTCATTTTTTCACTTTTTTGCTCTCTAATAGCCTAACAAGAAAGGAACTTGTAATCCAGAATTGGATGACACCCATCGTAAACTTGAGCCAATTAGCTCCAAAAGCACGAGATGCTATGTCTCCTTTTTCGTCTCTACGTTATCTAGGCGTTTTAAGTATCTTTTATTCCCTTCTCTCTCTCTCTCTCTTTTATGAATAAGTCTCGCTTCTCGTTTTCTCTCTTCATCTACCTCATTCCCTCCATCTGTTTCAATCACAAATATCTCATCTCAATATGCACCTCTGATTGCAGTTTCCTCATATGCACAGCCGCGGCCTCCCACTTTCCGATTGGCCAAGCGAACTTTCCTTGCTTATCTCAGCTTAATGAACGAAAGTAAACCCCCAAATCTCATTTACGTAGTCTTTTCGTACCTAGTGAACCGTAGCTTCCTACATCTATTATGGGAGTTTTGAGTTTTTTAATCCACATTCCTCTTCTCGCTTTGCACACTGCAATCTCATCATGAGAAAGAACATGTTTGAGAGGTGTTATCCTATTTACCTTCTAATGCAGCATCTTCTTCTTCCTTCTTCTTCTCACTGTTAGAAGAATAAAAAATATTCTCGAATGAGAGAGCATGTCATAACAAGTGTAATGGAGGAGAAGACGATTTGACAAAAACCTCTTTCTTCAGATTATTGTGAGAAGCGACAGCTCGTCATCCAACTTCGCCATCAGAATTTTTTACTTCTCGTCATATTTAGCTTCATTATTCTTGCCTGTTTTTGTCAACAGCATAGCTATGTGGAAATATTATGTACTTGAACTATCAAATAGTTAAAACTCAACCTTTGCAATAAAGAGCCTGCTCCATCATCATCTATCTGGCTCACTTCTAATGAAGTTTCCTTTTTTGATCACATAGCTGTTTTTGCAAAAAAAAAAGAAAAAAGCATCTATGGTTATTGACTAGGATTGGATGTGGTGCGTTGTCTGTCATCCTGAAATGATCAATGCGCTCAAAGTTTTATTTTAAAACATTCCTTTTGCATCATTAAACAATCATTGAGAGGCTTCACTTCTTAATTTCCCCACCTATGATCATCAAAGCTCTGTAATCCTTTCTCATTCCTTTTTTGTTCGTTTGATTCGAAACATTTGTTCGTCTGCTTCATCAGCTTTCCATAGCTCTTGCCTAGGATTTCGGAGTGTTGATGCGAATTGAAAAATAACGCTTTCAATCTTCAGCCAAACAGTCATTTTGCGAGATTGAACAAGTCGTTAAAACATTGAACTCTTTCAATTAGCTTCTCTATCGCACTCTCTCGCCTTTCCTCATCTTCTATCCCTCCATAATTTGCATGCAATACCTCTGCGGATCTTTTTCCAATGTCCTTTCAAGAGCATCATTATTGCAACCTTCTTTAACGCCGCTGACATTTCTTCATTTTTTACTCTTCTATCTTTACTTCCATTCTAATCTTTGTGCTCATTCAACATCGTCACAACATCATCCACACAACTTGCCATAACGAACATTCTTTTGTTCAACGACAATGCTTTAACCTCTCTCTGCCATTCATTTTCAGTCTCCATCTCCTTATACTCATCTCATCTCATCTCATCATCATCAGTGTCTTCCCCGCCTCATATCGTTGTCTTTTAATGAGCTCAAAATATGGCAATTCCCAAGAATCATTCTCTATTATTACCCTAAGTTGCTATACAGACCAACCGTTGCTTTTCGATCTTCTCATCAGATTATCTTAATGTTACCGGATATGTCACATTGATCGTTTTTCCTTTTTTCTCTCCAGCATGTTGTTATCACTGGCACATCCCAACTTAGCCTTTTCCCTTTTCAAACATTTCATTAATTTTCTAAATGGAATGAATTCCAATAAATTTCTTATCAATCTCGTACCTGGTTGTCGCTTCTCTACTCTTTCCCCTCTTCTTCCTCATCCTTCTTTTTCAGCTTCCAATACATTATTTGTTATTACTAAACTGCATTTTTAATCTGTTTTTCAGTATTTCAATTATTGTTTAGAAATATTATCCCATCCTCAAGCAGTACCTTTGTCCTCTTTTTTGGCATTTTCTCAAGACACCACTAACTCATATTCATCCTCTAATGGACAAGCATTTTGTGCCTGTTTGCCTATCCATAATGACGAAACACTAAAATGACTATGAGCAATGAGAGTAACGCAGCAACTTACCTGTCTCAAACTTCATATCCTAAAAATAGTTAATTGTGAGTAAGAGTAGGGAAGTAAAAACTAACGTGAACTAACTTGTCAACTAGAAAACAACGCTTATAGAGAGAGAGAGAGATAGAGAGACAGAGAGAGACAGAGGGAATGGCGAGAAGAGAAAGAGAGAGATTTCAGAATACAAAGCATTGCTTAGCTTTAGACTTCATTAGATCTATTTTCTGTGTCTCCTCCCCTTTCGACGACATGCATATGTTTCTTCAATGACTTGAGCTTCTCTCAATGCCGATTAGAAAAAATAGGCTTCTCATTCACAACCATCACGCTATGCACATCTCCTTTTATGTCATGATTGTCCATTTTTTTAGCTCAAATCTGCAATTATGTGATTCTCAGTCAAAATCGTCAATGTTCTCATGCACATACAGAACAAACTCACTCAAAATATAGTCTAAATCGTCAAATCTCAGAGTTTTTCAGTTGGATGAATGTGCTCGATTATTTAGCTGAAAGGCACTTAGACATTCTATATAAATACCTTGAACTTCATCATCCTTTGATTTTGAATACTTAATGGCTTTCTGGCAATGCTCTGAACATCAATTGATTACTTTTTCAACCTTTAGATACTATTCTCATCTAATTAGCATAATTTGACATAACGTGCCGACCACGTGTTTCCACGTAACTCGGCCACACTACTCATTTTCTGCACGCCGATGCTCGTGAACGGTTGTTATTCTTTTCTCTCGTCATCATGAAGTTGCAGGGAACTCCGTGACAGTTTTTTTTTCACTTCAGGAAGCCGATGAATATATGAACTGCATTTTCATTCTGCAACATTGTTGTGAATACCTACTAGTAATCGACTATTCCCTTTGACGTAGTTTATTCGGAATTCAAATGCCACATGCGTTCATATGTTATCTATTTAAAGCTTACAAAATGCTTTTTTGAGCGTTCGACCGATCAGTTGTCTTTGCAAATTCCCCCCTCTCTCTCTCTCTCTCTCTCTCTCTCTCTCTCTCTCTCTCTCTCTGTCTCTCTCTCTCTCTCTCTCTCTGTCTCTCTCTCTCTCTT